GTAGGAGGAAAGCTCCTGAGGGGAAGGTCACAGTGCCTGAGGGTGAACCAAGTTTTTCTCAGAATCCCTCTGATCACGAAGGTGCCCTAGCAGAGCTGGGTGACGCCAGTGGCTCTCGCCTGTCATCCTAGCTTTGAACCGAAATGATCCTCAGATCTCAGGCTCCTGAGTAGCTAGGATTACAGCCGTGAGCCACCAGTGCCAGGCTTCCATAAGATTCTTATTTCCATTAACTTACTTAGAAAAAGCCAGAAGTGGCGCTGTGGCTCAAGTAGCAGAGTGCTAGCCTTGAGCACAAAGAAGCTCAGGGACAGAGCCCAGGCCCTGAGTTCAAGCCCTACAACCAACAAAAACAAAACAAAACTTGTACAAACAGAAAGCAGTCCTTGCTGGACAGTAAGCTGCTCCAATGCAATTCTAGTTCACTTCGATGCAATTTTATTTCACTTTGGAAAAACACCTGAGCCCTCCCAGACGGCACCAATGGCCAGGACTAATTCCCAGATGCCCTAGAATCCTCCGTGGGCTTGCAGCCGGGGACCGAGGGGCCAGCTCCGCATGGGCCCCCTGCCCACAGGCAGGGCCGCAGCCCAGGCCACAGCCGCTCCGCAGGCCCAGGGTGCAGACCTGAGGCGCCTTCCCGCCCCCCTCACAGCCAGGCCCCCCACTGCAGGATCTGGGAGGTGGGGTCCCGTTCTCATCCCGCAGGAGCACTTCTTCTCTCTTGGGGGTCCACACCCTTAGTCACACAAAGTGGGCAGGGGCCTCCTTGGCTGCTGGAGGCCATCCTCCATCCACCCGCCATCCTCCACCCAGCAACCTCCAGGACGGCTTAGAGCACACGGGAAGAGGTACATGGGGTGGGGGTGGGGGGTGCCATACACCTGGCCCCCCTAGCCTTGCACCTGCCTGCTGGTGGACCCCACTGTCCACACTCACACTGTTCCCAGGAAGGGAGCCCCAAATTGGGCTTGCCCCTGGGTGGAGGGGAGCGCTCCAGCCTTACCTCCAGGATGGGACGTCCATCTTGCTCCCACGAGGAGGTGGCGGCGGCGGGGTCCTGGGGCCCAGGCCCCGGTGAGGTCACAGGGGTCCCCACGGCGACCCCCCTCAGGGCAGCTTCTGGAGAGCGCCTGCCCCTCCCACAGGCCTTCCACGTGAGGGTGAGAAGGGGTGCACCTGCCCTGCGTGCCGCCCAGTCCGGCGGACTCCTTCCCACCGGGGCTGCAGGACACCGAGCCCTCCAACCCCTTCCCCGTGGCTGCCCTCAGCCTCTCCATTCTCAGCCGAGCGCCGTCCTGCACCAGGCCCCGACCGGCCCAGCACCGCTCACCCCACACCTGAGCAGCCCCAGGTGCTCCTCCGGGCTGCCTCCCGGGCACCCTACAGTGGGAAACATCTGCTTCGCTCCCACACGCTCCTCCTGCCCAACCAACTACCGAAAATACGTTGTTTTTGCTGGCCTTGTGGGGCTTGAACTCAGGGCCTGGGCACTGAGATCCCTTGCTCAAAGTGGGCGCTCTGTCACTTGAGCCACGGCTCCACTTTAACCTGTCCGTCTCATGGAGTCCTTCCGGGAGGCCGACCTGAAAGCATGATCCTCAGATCTCAGCCTCCTGACAGCTGGGATTACAGGTGTGAGCCTCCAGCAGCTGGCTTAAGGTGGACATTTTCAGCTCTGGAACTTTCATGGGAATGTTGCACGGCACGCCCGGCTGGCGGCGCTGCGCCCCCACCGCCTCTGCACTCACATAATGGAATCTTTGTTCAGATTTTGGTGGTGCTATTAATACTCAGTGACTCATCAAGAACGTGGCTTTCCAGAATGTTCTTCCCAGGGAGGTGAGGTGACGTTTCTTCCCATGGAAGATGAATCTGCCATTATTTTTTAAAGGTCTGAAGAGATGGGAAGCTGAACGGGAGGAGGAACATGTTTCCTAAATAACACGAAATTATTCAATTGTCATCCATACAGGAAGGGAAAAAAATACCAGTTGCACTTAACCAACTTCTCATTCGGGCCACCAATGAGCCAGGTACCTGGCCTGAGCACCGAGACAGCAGGGAATAAATGGGGTTTGGGTCTCCCTTCCCAGGCTCAGAGGCAGTCTGCCACCAAAAGCCGGCCAGGCCAGGCCGGGGTCGGTGGACAAGGGCTGGCCAGCATGCGCGGTCAGGGCCACATTCCCACCACAAAACAGGGAAAGATGCGGAGAATGCAAGAACTGCTAGGGTTTGTCAGAAAATATTTTCTCAGCCAGCCAGTGGCTCACTTATATAATCCCACTCAGGAGGCTGAGATCTGAGGATCATGGTTTAAGGCCAGGCAAGGAAATCCATGAAACTTTTTGGTCATGTGGCTTGAACTCTGGGCCTGAGCTCTTCAGCTCTACCACTATGAGCCACAGCACCACTTCCAGAGCCTCCTGCATGTGAGACAAGCACTCTACCTCTGAGCCACCTTCCCAGCCCAGAGACCTTTCTGTTTTTGGTCAGTCGTGGGGCTTGAACTCTGGGCCTGAGTGCTATCCCTCAGCTCTTCAGCTTAAGGCGAGCATTCTACTGCTTGAGCTAGAGCCACTTCCAGTTTTCTGGTGGCTTATCAGAGATCAGAATTTCAGACTTTCCTGCCCCCGCTGGCTTTGAACGGCAATCCTCAGATCTCAGCCTCCCCGGTACCCAGAGACTCATCTCCAACAAAAAGCTGGAAACTGAGCCATGGCTCAAGGTGATAGAATTAGCCTTGAGCACAAAAGTACAGGGACAGCACCCAAGCTCAAGCTGAGACTGGCACAAAACCCCTAAACCCTGCTTCCTGAAGCCTTCTGGACACATGTCTCTTCCCCCTTGTCTCTGGGACAGACCCATGACTTGGACTCAGCCAATCACGGGGTCTTGGTAAGGAAATGGGAACATCAAGGTGCGGATGACCAGTTTGGAACGTGGTGATCTGACCTCACGCGGGCAGAGCCAGCTGGGGCAGAGCCACTGCGGGCTGGGGCCAGCCCGCCAGTGCTGCAGAGCTTGAGATCCTCGGTGAGACTGCCCTGATCCCCAATCCCCCAAAATTCCCAGAGAGTAGAGGTGTAGCTCATAGTTCCAGCAATTGAGAAGCAAAGGCAGGAGAAACATGTGAGCCCAAGAGTTGAAGACCAACCTGGGTAAAATAGTGACTTTACTAGAAAAAGAACAGGGGGGAAGGTGGCTCACTGGTAGAGCACTTGCCTTGCATGCCTGAGGCCCTGGGTTCCATTCCTCAGCACCACATAAAGGAGAAAAAGTCAGAAGTGGCGCTGTGAGGGCTGGGAAGGTGGCTCAGTGGTAGAGCGTTTACCTTGCATGCCTGAGGCACTGGGTTCGATTCCTCAGCACCACATAAGCAAAAAGAAAAAAGCCGGAAGTGGCGCTGTGGCTCATGGTAGAGCGCTAGCCTTGAGCTGAAGAGCTGAGGGACAGCGCCCAGCCCAGGTGGAAGTTCATCAGGCCCCACAACTGGCAAGAAAAAAAGAACAGCTGGGCGCTGGTGGCTCACACCCACAATCCTACTCAGGAGACAGACCTTGAGGATAACGGTTCAAAGCCAGCCTAGGCAGGAAAGTCCATGCATGACTCATCTCCAGAAAACATGAACCACCAGAAAAGGTGCTGAGGCTTAAGTGATAGAGCACTCGCCTTGAGCTGAAGAGCTTGGCTCAGGCTGAGTTCAAGCACCATGACCAACAACAAAAAAGCCAACTCAGGCCGGGCGCTGGTGGCTCACACCTGTAATCCTAGCTATTCAGGAGGCTGAGATCTGAGGATCGTGGTTCAAAGCCAGCCCAGGCAAGAGAGACTGTGAGACTCCTATCTCCAATAAACCACCAGAAAACGGGAAGTGGCGCTGTAGCTCAAGTGGTAGAGCGCTCGCCTTGAGCTGAAGAGCTTAGGGACAGCGCCCAGGCCCAGAGTTCAAGCCCCACGACCGACAAAAAAAAAAAAAGCCAACTCAGGACCTTGGTGTAGCTTAGTGGCAGCACCTTTCTGGCAGGACAAGGAAGCAGGGGTTGATGTTTCCGCTCATCTAAGCAGGATTCATCTCAGCAGGGTCCCAGAGGGTACACTGCAGCTCTACTTTGCTCTACCGCTCGACCCACGGCTCCAAGCCCTGTCTTCTGGTGCTGGTTTCTACTCGTGCCATAGCTTTTCTTTCAGCTTCAAACCAGTGATCCTGATAGCAGCTTCCTGAGTAGCTACAATTACAGGTGTGAGCCACCAGTGCCTACTGAAGTGTGCACTTGAGAGGTGCAGTTCAGTTGTGTAATTATCACTACCACCCATGTCCACACCTTTTCTACCTTTGGTGAAGATCAACAATGTCTTTTTGGCTGGTTGTAGGCCTTGATCTCAGGACCTTGGGACCTGTTCCTGAGCTAGCTCTCTACCTCTGGAGCCACACAGCACCTTTTTTTGGCAGTTAACTGAAGCGCAGGCTGGCTTTGAACTGATACATGGCAAAAGCAGGTTGAGATTTTTATGGGACGTGGCACTGTGGCACAAGTGGTAAGAATGCTCACCTTGAGCAAAAGCAGCTCAGGGACAGGACCCAGGCTGAGTTCAAGCCCCAGGACTAGCAAGAAAAGTACATTGCCCAGAATGACTCCATTTGGCTTCAGCCAAGATTACAGGTATGCTGCTTCACGCCCACTTAATAGTTTTTCTGTGTTGTTTGGCTGTGGGTCTTGTTCTTTTAAGCATGCACTTTGATCCCAGGACTGGGATGGGACCTAGACACTGTCACTGTCTCAATTCAAGCATGATACTTGTACTACCTGAGTCACAACTTCACTTAACTGGAGATGCAGCATGGACTTTCCTACCTGGGCTGGGTTTGAACCATGATCCTCAGATCTCAGCCTCCTGAGTAGCTCCAATGACAGGTGTGGGCCACCAACCCAGCTTGAAACAGATCCTTCTAAGCAGCAAGATAGAAACTCTACTCCATAATAAAGACACTTCCACCGTTTTAACTCATCTATATTTGCTACCTTTTAAAGCACACTGGGAGTGCACTACATCACACACAAGCTCTGCTGCTGAGTGGCTTTAATGTTTTTTAAACACAACATCTAGGGAAGTTTGTATTTCTCTAAATACACTTTTCTTTGGAAAACAAGCCCTGGAGTTCCATCAAGTTGTGTCAGCCTAACACATATTTCTAGAGGACTAGCACATGCAGCATTAACTACAAGGGATGGAAAACTAATTGGACCCTCTCTGATGAAACTCAAGCCATTTCAACAAAAACATTTCTTTAAACATCAAGATAATGTGTCAGAACACACCAATGACAAAAGATTTGGTCTGCTAAGGAATCTGGCTTAATAGCTAAACACTTGAGACCATAAACCGGTCACGTTAGAGCTTACAACAAACATCTTCACCTGTCCAAACCAAGGTGAAACTAGAAAAAAGCCTTACTAATCTGCTTCGCCTACGGTGTCACAGTATCACAAGTAGAAAGAAATCTCATCCTCCCCTTTAAGTAGTTGCCATGCTATACAGACTTTTTAAATGTTAACAAAAATAAACAAAATCCTGGGGATATTATCAGAGGGAATGAAGGTGAGTGTGGAGCTCGCCGGGCCTAGTCCACTTCCTCCATGCGTGAGGTATCGTCGTCTCCTTCCAGAGGTGGCATCTCCTCTGCCACGGCCGCACTGGTGTCATCGGCGGTGGGGTCATCCTCATCAATACCTTTGTGGGAAATATGATCTATTAGCTCTTAAAAACAATTAAGCAATCTGACATGGCTGGCATTCTCTTTTTTTGGGGGGGGGGGGGTCCAGTCGTGAGGCCTGAACTCTGGGCCTGGGCACTGTCCCTCAGCTCTTCAGCTCACGGCTAGCACGCTACCACTTGAGCCATACCACCACTTCCGGCTTTTTTTTCTGCTTATGTGGTGCTGAAGAATGGAACCCAGGGCCTCAGGCATGCAAGGCAAGCACTCTACCACTGAGCCACCTTCCCAGACCCCACTCTTGTTCTATTATCCCCACAAATAAACAGATTAAGATCCCAAAAAAAGCAAGGTGAGAAATCCAGTTTGGCCCAAATTAACTTCTGCCTCCAGAGGCTTCCGTTCCTGTACTGCCCTAGCCTGCAGTGTCTTACCTAGCCCGAGTTTAATCATCCTGTAGATGCGGTTCGCATGGGTCTGTGGATCCTCCAGGCTGAAGCCGGAGGACAGGAGCGCCGTTTCATAGAGCAGGATGACCAGATCCTTCACAGACTTGTCGTTCTTGTCAGCTTCTGCCTTCTGTCTCAAGGTCTCAATAATGGAGTGATCGGGATTGATCTCCAGGTGTTTCTTTGCTGCCATGTAGCCCATGGTTGAGTTGTCTCGAAGGGCTTGGGCCTTCATGATTCGTTCCATGTTCGCCGTCCAGCCGTACGTGCTCGTGACAATGCAGCATGGGGACGTCACCAATCGGTTTGACACGACAACCTGTAATTGAAAGCCCCGTGGTGATTATGCCTAGAAACATTTTTGAATCTTTCAAGACTTCTCTAAAAGGAATAAAATAGGAGCTCAAGTATGAATGGGTCTGAAGTACTTCATCTTTAAGTGTAGGCATCAGTACTATTTGGAAGCTAAGATCTACAAAAAAGATGGTGGTAGTTGACCGCTGTAGGAATAGTGATCAGAAAACATTGCCTGTGGGTATTAAAACACACCTTTTCAACCTTCTTCTCCAAGATGTCTTTCATGATCTTGCACAGATTTTCAAACTTTGTCTTTTTCTCTTCCTGTTTTTTCTTCTCCTCTTCATCTTCTGGGAGTTCCAAGCCCTCTTTGGTGACTGACACTAACGTCTTCCCCTCAAACTCCTTGAGCTGCTGGACACAGTACTCGTCGATGGGCTCGATCATGTAGATCACTTCCAAGCCATGCTTGCGCAGGCGCTCCACGAAGGCAGAGTTAGCCACCTGGTCCTTGGTTTCACCTGAAATGCATTTCAAAGTTCCTCTTTCACTCATTTCCTAGGGGTCAGATGCTTTGCTTCATCTCATCATCATCTAGTTTATGTTAGGGCAAAAATATCCATGGCCTCTTTAAAGCTACAAGAACCAACAGATGACTAACACCTCCCCCCAGCCCATCCACTACCTGTGATGTAATAGATGTGCTTCTGGTTTTCCTTCATCCTGGTGCAGTAGTCCTTTAGAGAAACCATCTCGTCCCCAGAAGCAGAGGTGTAGTAGCGTAAGAGCTCAGAAAGCTTCTTCCGATTCTGGGAGTCCTCATGGATTCCAAGCTGAAAGGACAATTTTTTTTTTTTTTTTTAGAACAATGAGGCCCAGGGGTGGGAAGGTGGCTCAGTGGTAGAGTGTCTACCTTGCATGCATGAGGCCCTAGGTTCCATTCCTCAGCACCACTTAAGCAGAAAGCCAGAAATGGCGCTGTGGCTCAAGCGGTAGAGCGCTAGCCTTGAGCTGAAGAGCTCAGGGACAGCGCCCAGGCCCACAGTTCAGGTTCCACGACTGACCAAAAAAAAAAAAACAAAAAGGCCTGTTTGAAAACCAACTACATATCCACTCACCTTTATATTTTTAGAGAACTGTTCATAAAACTTCTTGTAGTTCTCTTTATCTTCTGCCAACTCAGTGAACAATTCTAGGCATTTTTTGACCAAATTCTTCCTGATAACTTTCAGAATTTTGCTTTGTTGTAACATTTCACGGGAAATATTTAGAGGGAGATCCTCAGAGTCCACCACCCCTCGGATGAAGTCTGCAAAAAAAGACAAGGCACTGGTCACTTGGAGGACAAAACATAAGACCCTCAAAAGAACCTGGAGATGAGAGGCTTTAAGCAGAAACAGTCTCCCTGCTCATACTCACTCAGATACTCAGGGATCAGCTCCTCACAGTTATCCATGATGAAAACTCTGCGGACATACAGCTTAATGTTGTTCTTTTTCTTTCTATTTTCAAATAGATCAAAAGGAGCGCGTCGCGGGACAAAAAGAAGAGCTCTGAATTCCAACTGTCCTTCGACGGAGAAATGCTGCAACAAAACACAATGTTCAGCATCAACAGCTGGGCAATGAGCTGTTAGAGATGTGTTTGAGCTCAAGGAGAGCGTTTTCACTTTGAGCCAGACAAGACTCATTTTCCAGTGCTCATTCATTGGTCACTTACTTTCACTGCCAGGTGATCTTCCCAATCATTGGTCAAGCTCTTATAGAACTCTCCGTACTCCTCATTAGTGATATCATCAGGGTTTCTGGTCCAAATTGGCTTTGTCTTATTGAGTTCTTCCTGATCAATGTACTTTTCCTTAATTTTCTTCTTCTTCTTCTTGTCACCATCCTTCTTTTCTTCTTCTTCTTCATCAGAACCAACATCCTCTATTTCAGGTTTGTCATCTGACTCCTTTTCTTCCTTTTCCTTTTCCTCCTCTTTATCCTCCTTTTCTTCAGCCTCGTCATCACTGACCTCCTTATCACGTTCTTTCTCAACCTTCAAAAACCAGAAGTCATTTTGCTTTACGCTGTAAGCATGAAGCAGATTTGAAAACACTCCCTCCATTATACCAAAGCGCAAACCGTTAACGTCATTTTGCTTTGTGCTGTATGTAAGCACGAAGCATGGATTTGAGAAAACATTGCTTCATGATACCACAGTGATGGGCTGGGAAGGTGGCTCAGTGGTAGAGCGCTTGCCTTGCATGCACAAGGCCCTGGGTTCGATTCCTCAGTACCACATAAGCAAAAGGAAAAAAAAGCCGGAAGTGGCGCTGTGGCTCAAGTGGTAGAGTGCTAGCCTTGAGCTGAAGAGCTGAGGGACAGCGCCCAGGCCCTGAGTTCAGGACCCATGACCGGACCAAAAAAAAAAAAATGATACCACAGTGGCATTAAGTGGCTGCAACAAGCTTCTCCATTAGTACTTATCTTTCAAGCAATCCTAGCTAGGCACAGCACCTAGGGTGCTTAGGCTCCCAAAAGGCTGCATAGTAAACACCTGAAGTTTGGGCTAAACTGCCGAACAGAGTATTTATCTTAGCTACTCTACAAACAGGAAAATTCATTCTGCAGTTACATGAATACTTACAAAAAGGGTAATGGGATAGCCAATGAACTGAGAATGTTTCTTCACAATTTCCTTGATTCGTCTTTCTTCCAAGTATTCTGTTTGGTCTTCCTTCAGATGCAAGATAACCTTTGTTCCCCGGCCCATAGGTTCCCCTGCAGAAGGAAAATGGAGCCAAATAAAGGCTTAAGAACATTATCAAATTGGGTGTGGCCCATGCTTGTAGTGGGACCTCTTGGGAGACTGAGGAGAAAAGATTAGATTAGTGGGACCCAGCCTCAAAAATCATATTAGCACCCAGCAGAAAATGCCTGAAGTGGCGCTGTGGCTCAAGTGGTAGAGCCCTAGCCTTGAGCTGAAGAGCTGAGGGACAGTGCCCAGGCCCTGTGTTCAGGTCCCACGACAAAAAAAATTGTGTTAGCATTGTGGCACCATGTAATTCCCAGCACCTAAATCCTCACAGACAGATACAGGCAGTTTACTTTTGTGCCAGTCCTGGGACTTGAATTCAAGGCCTGGGCACTAACCCTGAGCATTTTTTTGCTATACTTCAGCTCCTCTTCTATTTTTGAGGGGTGCTTACTTTTCTGCCTAGACTGGCTTTAAGTCACCATCTTTAGATCTCTGAGTAGTTAGAATTACAGGAGCAAACCACAATTTTATTGTATGTTTCTTTTGAACTGGCTATATTGAACAATAATTGTAAAACACAGGTCCTGAGATTTGAATTCAGGGCCTTGGTGCTGTCAGAGTTTCTTTGTACTACAAGGCTAGTAGTGCTGTACTACTTCAGCTACAGTGCCACTTTGCTTTTTTTCATTTCATGGAGACTTACAAGTCTCGTGGGGGCTTTTCTGCTAGTGCCGGCTTTGAATGATGATTCTTGGGTCTCAGCCTCCTGAGTAGGATTACAGGCGTGAGCCACTGCCACCTGGCTGTCCTTGAGCTTTTTCATTCATGGCTGGTGCTCTACACCACTTCAGCCACAGCTCCACTTCTGGCTTTTTGGTGGTTAAAGATACGAGTCTCATGGATATTCCTGCATGGGGTGGCCTTGAACCACAATTCTGACCTCAGCCTTCTAAATCTAGTTACAGGAAGGAGACCAGAGCTGACTAAACAAGTTTTTTTTTCTCTTTTTGGGTCTGGTCGTGGGGCCTGAACTCTGGGCTTGGGCACTGTCCCTCAGCTCAAGGTTAGCACTCTACCACTTAAGCCACAGCACCACTTCTGTCTTTTTTCTTATGTGATGCTGAGGAATCGAACCCAGGCCTCATGCATGCAAAGCAAGCGCTCTACCAGAGTCACCTTCCCAGCCCTAAACAAGGTTTTCTTAAGAGCACTCACAGGGGCCAGCAGTGCAGCTCCCCGTCCCCACTGACAGGAACCTCTTCCTCCCACTGCCTACCTGTGTCAGTCCTCACGGTGAACGAGCCCCCCGCCGAGGACTCCCAGGCATACTGCTCATCATCGTTGTGTTTGGTGATGACAGTCACCTTCTCAGCAACTAGATAGGCCGAATAAAATCCAACACCGAACTGGCCAATCATAGAGATATCTGCACCGGCCTGCAAAGCCTCCATGAAGGCTTTGGTGCCAGACTTGGCGATAGTACCAAGGTTGTTGATCAAATCGGCCTTAGTCATGCCGATGCCGGTATCCACAATGGTGAGGGTGCGATCTTGCTTGTTGGGAATGATATTGATGTGCAGCTCCTTTCCAGAATCTAATTTGCTAGGATCTGTCAAGCTTTCATATCGGATTTTGTCCAGAGCCTATTATTAGAAAAAAAAGAAAGGGGGGGGGGTGCGGGGTGGAGAACACGTGAGGCCCAGGCCGAGGAGTGCCCGCTGAAACCAAGGCCCGGCCCCGCGCGCGCACTCACGTCCGAGGAGTTGGAGATGAGCTCCCGCAGGAAGATTTCTTTGTTCGAGTAGAAGGTGTTGATGATCAGCGACATCAACTGGGCGATCTCCGCCTGGAAGGCGAAGGTCTCGACCTCCTCCTCCTCCATCGGCTGATCCTGGGTCTGGGTTTCTTCGGGCATCTGCGGAGGGCACGAGCCGCCTCAAGACCCGCGCCACGTCCACGCGGCGCCCCGGGACCCGCCGCCGCGTGCGGGCGCCCCGGGCCGGCCTGGCGGGGGGCGGCGCGGCCGGCTCACAAAGGATGACCTCATTTCCAGGGGCGGCCGCCGCCGGGCGCGTGCGCGCCGGGGCCGTTCGGCCCGACCCCGACACGCCGGCCCCGACCCCAGCCCCGCAGCCCCCAACGGCCGCCCTGCCCCGCGCCCGCCGTCATGGCGGCGCCCGCCAGGGCCCCGCGCCGGGCCGTCCCGCCGTCCCGCCCGGGCTCCGCGGCCCGCTCCGCAGGGAAGGGCGGCCGGGCTCCGGGGCGGCGGCCGGGAGCCGGGCCCCCTGCGGCCGAGGAGGTCCGGTAGGCAGGTAGGCCGCCGCCCGCCGTCGGCCCCGGCCCCCATCCCGGCCCGCCCGGCCCCGGCCTGGATCCCCATCCCAGCCCCAGCCCCGGCCCGCCCGGCCCCCATCCCGGCCCGCCCGGCCCCGGCCTGGATCCCCATCCCAGCCCCAGCCCCAGCCCCGGCCCGCCCGGCCCCGGCCCCCATCCCGGCCCCCATCCCGGCCCCCATCCCGGCCCGCCCGGCCCCGGCCCGCATCCCGGCCCCGCGCCCGAGCCCGCTCACCTTGGCTGAATGACCGCACCGCTCCGCGCAGCGACACCGGGACGCAGAAGCAACTGGCGCGCCGCCCCCGCGCCTCCCTTATATAGACGCGGGCCCGCCCAGCGCGCGGCGCCTTTTCCAGAAGCCTCCCGAACCTTCCGGAAGCGGCGCCCCCCCCCAACCGCCGCCGCGGCCGCGCGCTCGCGCCTGCGCCCTCGACCAGGCCCGCCCCTCCCCCACGGGCACCACGCGCCCGCGCCGCCCGGAACTCTCGCGAAGTCTCGCGTTTTGCGAGCTCGCCCGCGGTTCCCTCTTACCCCCCCACCCCCGTCCCCGAGCGCGCTCGCGCGGGCCTGCGCGCGGCCCCGCGCCCTCGCGCATGCGCAGCAGGACGCGGCGCCTCGGCGCTCTGGGCAGCGTGTTAAAGCGCAGCTCTCGTTTGTCGGCGTCGGCGCGGGTTGGGTGCGGGTTCGCGCGGCCACCGTAGCGGGCCGGCGGCGGCGCTCGCTCCCCGGGGCTCGAACTCGTGGTGGTTGGAGCGCAGAGTCGGGCTTCCCTGCCGGGCTGGCCTCGGGCCTCCCGCGCCACCGTGAGCCCCAGCGCCGGCTTCTGCACCGCAGCCGGGGCGGGCTGGGTCCCGACAGCCGGGGTCAGGGGTCAGTGCTGTGCGCCCTCCTCAAGGGGACGGCCCTCTCTGTGCACCGGGCCCGGCTGCCTGCCACGGCCGGCCCCCAGGCTTTCATTTTGATGGAGCCGGTCGGGTCCCGTGGCGGGGCTGAGCCCGAGCTCACCACCCCGGCCTCCGCAGGGCGAGGCGCGCAGGGCCGCCGCCGCCGCTGATCTTTGTCGCCCTCCCTCCCCCTCATCTGGTGGAACAATCTAGAAACCTTAGAATGTAAACACACTTGAAGGGCGGTCCACACACCAATGCCTGTAGGAAAAACCTGCTTTCCCAGCTCTCGGGCAACCCTGCAGGCCCGGCGGGGCCGCCGGTCAGCCTGCCCGGTCGTGCCTCCGCCAGGCCCGCCTCCCCGGCGCTTCCCTCGAGCAGGCGCCCGCCGCCCCCCGCGCCGCGCCAGTGCCGGTCCCCCATGCCACCCTCCCCGGGCTGCTCACCAGCTCCTGGACGGAGTTCATGCTGCGCTCCAGAAGCTTGCTGGGCACTTCTCCGTCTTTCTGAGAGGTCTAGTCTGGTTTCACACTCAGTCGTTCTGCCTCCGTCTCCCCAGTGCTGGGATTAAAGATGGCTGCCACATGCCTGGCTCAGCACCATTATTTTCTAACAGTACTACAGGCAGACAACTAGCGGAGCCCAGCCGGGAAGGAAGCTGAGCTCAACAGAGTCCTTACCTCCCTGCCTGACTACCTGACTGCCCTGACTACCACTTTCCAGATCCAGACACTCAACTCCTAAACACCTAAACACCTGCGTGTGTGTGTGTGTGTGTGTGTGTATGCGCATGCATGCATGTGTGCAAACTCAAGGCCTGGCCCCAGTCCCTGAGCTTCTTTTGTGCTCAAGGCCAGTGCTCTACCACTTGAGCCACAACTCACTTCCATCTTTTTTTGGGGGGGAGGGGGTAGAATTTTGGAGATAAGAGTCTCAGGGAGCCAGGCCCTGGTAGTTCACACCTGTAATCCTAGCTACTCAGGAGGCTGGGATCTGAGGATCGTGGTTGGAAGCCAGCCTAGGCAGGAAAGACTCATCTCCCAACTCTCATCTCCAGTCAACCATCAGGAAACCAGAATTGGAGCTGTGGATCACAGTGAGCCCAGACCCTGAGTTCAACCCCCAAACAAAACAAAAGTCTCAGGGACTTCCTGCCCAGTCTGGCTTCCAACTGCAATCCTCAGATCTCAGCCTCCTGAGTAACTAGGATTACAGGTGTGAGCCACCACAGCCTGGCTCCTAAATACCTCTTGAATGGACTTCCCTCCATTTCACTCCCCCATCCCCCACCCAGCCACACGTCCCTCCATTTCACCCCACCCCCACCCCTCCCTCCCGCCACACAACTATCAGCTCATCTGCAAGTCCTTCACAACCGTGCGGAGTACTCGGTTCCCCTGCTTTGTTCCCAGTCAGGAGCTGGGGTGAGCAAACAGAACCGAGAGGGCTCCCACTCAAGCCTGAGGCAGAAAGGATCACAAATTCCAGACCTGCTAGCACCACGTCAAGAGACAGTGTTAAAAATAAGAAAACCAAAATGAAGGCCAACCTAGGGCTCTGGCTGGAAGTCGCTCCGTGGCAGAACGTTTGCAAGTGCAGGGAACGGGGTCCAGTCCTAGCTGGGAAAAAGCAAAACTAACACCAACCCCCCAGCTGATTCCCATAGTTCGCTTCCTTCCTTCCTGAACCCTTGCAGAGTTCCTTCCGGGCTGGGCTGGGCGAGGTCAGAGGTCCTCAGCCAGGCCTTGGCTGCGAGCCTCCTACCAGCTCTTCAGTGCACTCTGGTGCCCCGAATTCCCGGCTTCACCCACGTGAGGAAGGTCAGGAAGGTCGCCAGGGCTTGCACCCACACACACACACACACACACACACACACACCACCAAGTGCTTGGCTTAGACAAACTGATTGGTGCTGGGAGGGGGAGGCTGGGAGGTGTGGGGGGGAGGAATCGCTTTAGGAAAGGCCTGGGGGGCCTTCGGGGAAGCTGGGAGGAATCCTGGGAGCTGACTGTGTGGGAGGGTGAGTGGAGAAAAGAGAAAATGGACAGGAAAATTCCTTCAAAAATGGAGATGGAGCCAGGCGCTGGTGGCTCACCCCTGTAATCCTAGCTGCTCAGGAGGCTGAGATTCAGATCGAGGTTCAAAGCCAGCCCTGGCAGGAAAGTCCATGAGATTCTTACCTCCAGTGAACCACCAGAAAGCTGGAAGTGGTGCTGTGGCTCAAGTGGTAGAGCACTCGCCTTGAGCTGAAGAGCTGAGGGACAGTGTCCAGGCCCAGAGTCAAGACCCGCGACCAACAAAGCAAAAAAAAATGAAGGTGGAGAGTCAAGCATGGCGGCTCATGGCTGTAATCCTAGCTGCTCAGGAAGTAGAGAGCTGAGCCGTCAGTTTGAAGCCAGCCTGGCATATAAACGTGTGAGACTTTTTTTTTTGTCTGTTGTGGGGCTTGAACTCAGGGCCTAGCTCTCTCCCAGTTGTGAGGCTTGAACTCTGGGCCTGGGCACTGTCCCTCAGCTCTTCAGCTCAAGGCTAGCGCTCTACCACTTGAGCCACAGCGTCACTTCCGGCTTTTTTCTTTTTGCTTATGTGGTGCTGAGGAATCAAACCCAGGGCCTCATGCGTGCAAGGCAAGCGCTCTACCACTGAGCCACCTTCCCAGCCCCTCCCTGAGTTCTTTTGCTCAAAGCTAGTGCTCTTAACTTTTGAGCCACCGCGCCATTTCTAGTTTTCTGGTGATTAATTGGACATAAGAGTCTCATAGACTTTCCTGCCTGGGCTGCTTTGAACTACGACCCTCAGATCTCAGCTTCCTGAGTACTAGGATGACAGGTACAAGCCACCAGTGTCTGTCCCTGGGCTCTTATCTTCAATTAAGCCGGAAGTGGTTCAAGTGGTAAAGTGTGTAGGGAAGCTAAGTGGAAGCAAGGAGGTCAGGTCTAGCCAGTACCATACTGGCCACATGGTAGATTATAGGTCTGGCATCTTCATGCTGGGGGGAGGAAACCCCCCCCATCAATCACCTGCCTGGACCCCTGCAGGCAGGGCGGGCCCTTGGCTGATAGTTACTGAATCTGTCAGTCCAGTGCCTGGGACTGGGAACTTCCTGAGGATCTGCCCCCTGTGCTGACCTTCTTAGGCCCGGGCCAGCCTAGCCACCATTTCTCCATACCACGTGTGTCTCCGTGACCGCGCCTGTATCCTGCCTTCCGGCTTGTCTCCAGTCATCATGGTGTCCTAATCCAGCTCTCCATTGGAGCTGAGTTGGAGTTTTGGTAGTGGTGGCATTGCTTTTGTTCTTTCTTTCCTCTCTGGACCGTTTCCTAGCTGTGGTATGTGTATTTGGGTGGCTGCGGCCTGCTGTGTAATAAATACTCCGTATTCCATCTTCCTAAGTCTGGCTTACCACAAAGTTGGAACATGAGGGTCTGAGTTCAAGCCCCAGGACTGGCACAACCATCAATGGGGTGGGAGGTGGCCCGCTGGGGGGAGGGGGGTGGAAGTGAGAGACAGACAGGAAACAAATCCCAGGTCATCTGGGCCAAGCACCGGAAATGTGCGAAGGTATGCGGGGCTTCCTGGACACCTGGCTCCTCCTCCCGGGTGAGTGAGGAGCTGGGCCACCAATGAGCCTGCAGGCCTTGCGACCCTTCCATGGTGGAGAAAGGGCAGAGTTGGGAGGAGCCACAGACAGCGGGCTGGCCTCCAAAGGAAGGAGCTTAGCGGGTGCGGGGTGACCATCATGGGGCTCATGGGGCCCAGGCTGGCGGTGACAGGAGCTGCGTGTCCTGGTGTTGGGTAGAATAGGCTGTGGAGCGTCCATCCCGGGGTCCTGGGACTGGGGGGGCAGGGGGATGAAGGGGGGAGTGGATGGGCTGTGTGACAGTCCCAGCAATCTCCGGGGAGCTGGAGATCCCGGCAACCAGGAGAGAGAAAGACCCAGGGGACATGGAGCCAGGCCTGTGAGTGGGGTCCAGTCCTGGGGGTGCCTGGCTCCAGTGTGATCACAACAAGAGATATTAGGACCCCCATACCCCGAACTCCTGACCCCAAGGTCTCCTGTCACCTCCGATGCTTCTCCCTGCCCCTAGACGGGGGGGGGGGGGGGGGGGGGGTAGAGGGGTGTCTGTGGGAGCCCCTCAGTCCCCAGCCAGACCCAGGGACTCGGAGCAACCCCAGGGGGACTGCAGGGGGTCACGTTTGCACAGAGGAGGAACACACCGGAAACAGGTGGGGGGCAAGGGGGCGGAGCTCGGGCAGCTTGCCAGTCCTGGAAGCGACCGGAAGTCACCTCCAAACCTCGTCGCCGTCTTTGGCTCGGCCTTGCCCACCCCCACACCTGCCAGCTGCCAGGCCTTGCCCACCCCCACACCTGCCAGCTGCCAGGCCTTGCCCACCCCCACACCTGCCAGCTGCCAGGCCTTGCCCACCCCCACACCTGCCAGCTGCCAGGCCTTGCCCACCCCCACACCTGCCAGCTGCCAGGCC